GTCAGAGTTTGTTCTCTGCAGCCTGAAGGAGTTTCTCCTCTCAGCTCAGATTTCTGCCACAAGAGATTCTCTGAAAACCAAAATAAATGTTTATTATTTTTATTTTATTTTTATTGTTTTTATTTAGAGTCAAATCTGATTCAGAGTCGATTTAAACTTTTGTTCTGTCAAATTATTTGTCTTCAGTTCTCTTTGTTTTCGTTTTTGTGAAATGTTTTTGTTTTGATAGTGGACCACAGTGAGGTCCGGTCCTCAGACAGAACCACAAGAACTTTCAGCCATCAAAAACCACAGGGACCAGAACCCAGAGTCCAGAGTTCTGATCAGACATGTCACTGATAAGGTTCTGGATCAGGGTTCTGTTGTGGTTCAACCTGCTGCCTTCAGGAACCAGATTTTTGCAGGACATTTGAGTTTTATCATTAAGATGCCATAGACAGGGCAGGTTCTGGACCTGGACAGGTTCTGGACCTGGACAGGTTCTGGACCTGGACAGGTTCTGGACCTGAATCTGTTTGAGGTTTAAACTCAGAATAAAAAGCAGAACTTTGTCAAAGTTTCAGAACTTCTTCTTCTTGTTTTTTTGTTTTGATGATAAATGATGAATTGAAGAAACCGAACCCGGACTTTGGGGTCCAGATGAGTCCAGGTTTACCTGTCTGAAGAACATAAAGGTCCGTACAGAACTCTCCTCCGGCTCCAAAACCTCCAAACATGAAGATCTGGTTCCCGGCCAGAGCGAAACTCTGACCCTGCAGGGCCGGGGGAGTGGGTCCGCTGGTTTTAACCGGAGTCCAGTTCAGGGACACTGAAACAGAGCAGAGAGTCAGAACCCAGACCCCAGTCTGGGATCTGGATCATGTGGTCCTGACCGGTGTTGAAGACCATGAGGTCGTCAGTGGRTGTCCCGTTCACTTCTCCTCCGTATACGTAGATGTTGTCTCCAACGGCGGCGGAGCTGGGTCTGAGGGTCCGGAGGGCCACGCCGCTGGTCTGTAAGGACTCCCAGGTCAGGGACACTGTTAGAGACATGGGACACGTCACAGACCTGGTACCGGGACCGAGGACCGGTTCTCCTGGTCCTGAAACTCACCAACATCGAAGCTGAAGACTCCTGGGAGACACTCAGAGGCGTCTGGACTGGAAGATCCTCCAAACAGGTACAACCTGCCTTTGACGACACTGAGGGGGGAAACCAGGTCAGAACCAAAACCTCTGGGGTCTCTGTCTACAGGAAGACCTGACTGAGGTCAAAGGTCAGAGTTAAAAACAGAAACAAGGACGAAGTGCAGAGAATGAGCTTCAAAACCTCTGGAGAGCTCTAGATCCAGACCAGAGCCCTTTAACAGGACTACAGGAAGGTCTGGACCTGGAAGACTGGATCAAGACTTCTGCACAGTCCTGACCCTCTGAGTGTGTTGGGTTGTTTACCACAGAGTGTGTCCAGCCCTGGCAGGAGGAACTTCTCCGGTCTGAGGGATCTGCTCCCAGCTCAGGTCATCGGCTGCAACTATCAGCAGAACAACATGCTAACAGCTAACAGCTAACAGGCTAAAAAACAGCTAAAACTGTCTGAAAACAGCCGAACGTGCTCTCTGTTTCACCTGTTAGCATGTGGAAGTCACTGAAGTAAACAGGGCGGTCCTGAAGAGAGAAAAAC